GTGATTTCACCACCCCACCGCGGCTAGCTCGTCTGTAGAATGTGGCATAATCTCCATCCTCTGGCATTGTGCTGAGGACTGAGTGAGTGATCACTGCCAAGTGAGTAAAACAGAGCCATAGCAAACACGGGTTGGCTACGTCCAACAGACAAGCACACGGGTGCTCCCGAAGTACAGGTGCTCCATATCACTGAGACTGAGGTTCCCCTCAGGGTTGAGGAGGTCCTTCCCAGCTGAGGTCAGCCTCCCTCTGGACAGAGCTGGCTTCATTGTTGGTTGCCTTCCTGAGGCTCCCTCTCTCCTCTCCACCTGGCAGGAGCAGGGCCTCCCCTATGATCCGGGGGTGAGCTACCAGGCTTGTGGAAGTGGGGGAGCATCTCAAGCCCTGCTTGGATGAGGGGGAGGCTTCTCTCTGCTCTCCACACTAGTGGAGTGGCGAGGATGTGTTGATGCTGAGTTTGATTCTGTAGACCTCAGAACCTCTTATTGCTGGCAGTTTGAGCCATTGGGTCCTTCCCACTCTCTTTAAAACACTAAGACTGGCAGTGAAAACAAAAAACCCATCTAGTGAAAACCACTCAGAAGGGTACAAAATGGAAGTAAAAGCCCCTCCCTGACCATTCAGAGGCAATCCCTCCTGCTCTTCCCGCCAAAGGTCCACACCTCGATGAATAGATGCTTCCTGGGAACACAAACGTGACCACACTGCCCACTGTGCTGCCCCTGAGCCGTCATTCCAGGAGTTCCCTGTTCCCACCTGCTGTCTATCCACTGTCACAGAGTGAAGAGCTAGGACTGACTGTATCTTACGCCCTGCAAGCAGTGCATTTCCTGCGTAGGTCTTGTAAGCAAGTCTGGGTACCTTCCTAGCTTGCCTATTACGGGCTGCGAGATGTGGGTTTGGAAGGGAGGCTGAGGCTCCCACAGAGCCTAGGCTTGGAGGGACTGGTCTGTATTGTGTCCAAGTACTTTCCAGGGAGAGGTGGGGGCTTCTTCAGTAGGTTGGGGGGGGGGGTCCAGAGCTCCCAGGCCTAGTGCAGGAACCTGACCACTGCAGCCTTCCTGAAATATTGCAGAGTGTGGGTCTGATTGGAAGCTGAGCTTGGGCAATTAATCCTGCAGAGTCTCCGCTCAATTGCAGGAGGTTTTTTTTTCTGTCTTGCTCCCTTGGCCTAGATTTCCCTGGGGACAGCTCTGACCGGTGCCCGCCAGCCTGGTAAATTAAATGTTAAAAAATCTCCACAATGACTTTAATCAGTCCACAGCAATGGTGGGTGGCCTCCTCCTAGAAGCTGCAGTTGCATTGAGGGATGCCCTCCCAAGGGTCAGTATCTTGGGAGAGACAGGCTGGGGGAGAGGAGGGTGGGGTGGTGGTGGTGGTTTCCTCAGTCTTCTGCTCCTGGAGGAGAGAGGAGGATAGGGGGTCCCATGGTGTCTTCTTGGAGCCTGGACTCCTCCAAGTCCAGACCATGAGAGCTGAGAGGAGCGCCCCCCAGGACCTTGGGCCCCCTTTATGGCTTACCCTGATCTCTGCCCCAGGCTAGGGGTGATATGGGGGCAGGGAAGAAAGGCACTTTACCCCTCCTCTCTCTGGACCAGAAGCCTTAGTGCTTGATGGGCACCAATTGCTCTACCATCTCCAGATACAGAGGTTAGGGTCAGCCTGTTGGAGATAAATGGAAGCATGGGGCTCCCTGGGAGGAGTCAGGTTGAGACAGAGTTCTCCAGCTACCATAGTGGGGAGTCAGGGAGGGCCCCAGAGAGGGAGGGTCTCTGGCTCCAGGTGGAAAGTCCAAGGTCCTTCTCACTGGATTGTAGAGGGTGCAGGGGGCAACCCAGTCAGGCTGTCCTGTGTGTAGACAGCGCCTCTCTAAGGCTTTCCTTCCCTTCCAGGTCCTGTTCAGGGTGTCGCTGGCATCCCCCCACCAACTCCGAATGACCTTCCCCAGGGGTCTAAGTTATTTATGCAACCCTCTCTCTGCTTAACCCTCTTTGCTCATGTGTCCTGCCTTGGGGACCCAAATGCGTAGGAGCACCGATGGATCCCAGCTTGAGTTTGTGTCTTAGCAGAGTCCCCCACCTGCTCGTGGTTCTTTAAAGTAAATTGGCTGTGCCCACGGCCCACCAGCCAGAATCCTCCAGCCCGCGGGGACTCCCGGGAACTGCTGGAGGCATGGGGGTCAGGGCCAGAGAAATGGCAACAACACTGGGGTTGTGGAGAGTGGAGGCGCAGAAACCATGGGATCCACCACTCACACTCTGTGTCAATAGGCCAAGGTTAGAAGGTGGAAGGGGGCTTCCTAAAGGAAAAGAGGTGCCCTGTAGCATGGGTAGGGTGGGAGTACAAGATCAACCAGCTCCCTAAGTGTGTCAGGGACCAGGACCCTAAGGCCCGGAGTCCCCAGGACAGATGAAAGGGGAAAGGGGCTAGGAGTATGCTCACTGTCTGCAGAGGTTTCAGGGAGCCAAGCTCAGCCGAGCCGCCCCTGCTTGTGCTCCCCTGTCCCCTACCAGGGCCCGGAGCAGGAGGCGCTGACGTCTGGGGATGCGCGAGCCAGTTGGGTGCAAACCCAGCCGGGTTCTGGTCCCCCATCCTCCACTGCACAGCGGGCTGGGACACCGCCCCAACTCGGGTCCGCGTGTCCGGCTCGCCGCCGGGGCAGAGGGGGCGCTGTCGGCGCGGGCGGGCAGGCGGGGCCAGAGCGCGGGGGCGCGCGGCGCGGAGCGAGCGCAGGGCCCGGGGGCGCGAGCCGCCGAGGACTGGGGGCCTGGCGGGCGGCCTGCGCAGTGTGGGGCGCGGCGACGGTGGGCGCGCGGCCATTGAGCGCGCGGGTGGGGTGGCGGCGGCGGGAGGCGCTCGGGGCCGCTCCCCGCTCCTCCATGGCGCTGCCTGGGTCCCCCGAGCCGCCCCGCGGCGCGCCCCGCAAGGCTCCCAGTCTGCTGGAGATGGGGGCGCTCTGCCTGGACTCGGAGATCATCCTGGGCTTCACCAGCCACCTCCTGCGGCGGCGAGGCAAGGTGAGAGCTCGCGGGGACCGGCTGGCGAGGGAGGCGCTGTCCCGCGACTTTGCGGCGCGGCGCAAAGAAGAGGAGGCAGGTCCCGCAGCCCAGGCGGGGACTCATTGCCATACTTTCCTGGGTTGGTGCTGCGTGCAGCTCTGTAGTCAAGGCTGCGTCCTGACGGTACGAAGCCGGAGATAGCTAGGAAGGAGACTACAGCAAGGGGATTTCGGGTCTCACCTTGCGCCTTGCTGGGGGCCGGGGGGGCGAGATCCTTAGTACACGAGGCGCTCTGGCTCCCGCGTGCACCTCCGGGCACTGCGGGGTGTGTCTCGGTCCCCTCTGGGAACCCTGGTGGAGGCTATGCACGTGTGCTTCCCGAAGCACTGCGGCGGTGCGGGGAACTGAAGTTGAGGGTGTGGCAGGCGGTAGGGTCAGGACCTAGACTCCTGGCGATATTTCTGGGGGTGCATGTGGAATGTGGAGGATTTAGAGGGCGTGTGAGCCGCGCCTCTTAGGCCCTGGATGTGTGTCCCAGTGCAATAGAGGGGCGGAGGTGGTGCTGCCTACAGGGCTTGAGGGTATGGGTTGGGGATGGTGGTGTCTGAGGATACCGAGATCCCAGAGTGGACCGACGCCCCTGTTCCTCGCGAGGCTGCGATAAACTAGGGGGAGGGAGGAGTTTCCCGCCTCCGGACTAGGTAGAAAGGGCCTGGAAGCTTTGGGGTTGTAGAAGGGGAGCGGGCGCTCATGCCCGCTTTATTCTGTACTTCCCGCCGCGTTTGCGAACCCTCAGGAGACGATCATCCACCCTACTTTCTTGGGGAGCGAGTGCAAGTGCTGTCCAAGTAAAGGAGATGGTAGATCAAACGAAAAGGAAGGATCGCTTTAACTGGCTCGAGCAAGTGCGAAGGTATACTGTGCGTTGGGGGCCGCGGGCCAGGGTCTCCGCCTGGATCACGCTGGTTCGGTCCTCTCTGATCCTCCGGGAGAGCGTCGCCGCGCCGAACGCTTGGTGCCGGGTGTCTCTGCGTCCCGGAACCTTGTGAGCGCAGTGGCCGGCAGGGGGCGCTTGCGTCACGGGGAGCCCGGCTGCCGCACCAGCCTAACTCGACCTGGGGTTTAGGGCTGACCTGGCGTCCCGGCCCATAGCCGCTGGCGACCTCGGATGGCAGCGATATTTGGGGCCGGGCTTGGGAGGGAGCAACTGGTCGTCGGGGAAGGGAGGCGACCTCCCAGCTGGAGGCAAACAGGCAATTAATTCCGGAGCTAAGTTCCCATCTGCCAGGCCTGCTGACAACAGGTCCCGCGCACACCTCCGGGGCCAGCCGCACCACTTCCTCCCGCTTCTCCAGCGGCACGACGCACACACCCACTTTCAGGCACACGCGCGGCTGCAAAGACACGCGTGCCATTTGCAGACACACACGAGACAGATCCTGGCAGGGCACTGCACTTCCGGAGGCGCAGACCACGGCGACACTCACCCACGCGAGACAGTTGGACCAAAAGGGTGGCCAGTCACACGCGGAGTGCACTGGGTGTGTTTGAAAAGCGATTAGGAGTATGTGGACTGAGGCCCAGTTCTTTCCTTGTCCCCCTTGCTGTGTGACTTTGGGCAAGACCTTCCCCTTGGCGGTCTCAGTTTTCCCGCCTGCAAAGTGAGGAGTGGATGGATGCCTCCCAGGAGGCGCGCAGAACCACTCGTACCGGGAGAGCAGGAGAGGCGCATGCGCGCGCGGCACTTGTGTCTTAGTGGCCCCCAGCGCCGCTCCCCAGCCAGTACTCACCTAACAGGTTGGGGTCCTTGGAGTGGGAGGGGCCGCTCGGGGACGCCTGCAAGCCCCGCGCAGTACGGATTGGGGGGCGGTGTTCCGGCTTCCCGGCCCGCCCCCGGCCCGCCCCCCCGACTAGCCCTGGCCCGCCCCGGGCCAGCCCGCCCCCGAGCGCGCCCGCCGCCGCCACAGCGCGCTCTCCGCCACTCGCCAGCGCGGCCAACTTCCGAGCGGCGGGCCGGGCCATGGGGGCGCCGCGGGATCGGATCACATAGTCTCGGCGCGCCAAGAGCCAGCGCGGCCCTTCCTACAACCCAGTCATGGGCGGTCGTGGCGTCCCCTTGTGTGTGGCGCAGCCCGCGGTACGCGCGGCCGGGCCGGGAGCGGGCTGCGGGGCGGCGAGGGCTGGCGGGTACCAGGTTAGGAAGCTGGAACGTGGAGGATGCTCGCGGGGCGCACGGCGCCTCCTTGGGGCCCGGCCCTGAGCGGAGCGTGGTTGTGCCTCGGGTGTTGGGCTGGGGCACCGGCACCCGGGAGCTCTTGCAGTGCACTGAGAGGGTGGGAGCCAGGTTCGCGCCCAGCGCTCTAACTTTGAAGAGAGCTTGCTCTAGGGCCCGGGGCGCCTGGGTCCGGGGTTGCCCGTGCGTGATTGAGAGTAGCGCCGCCCCGCGACCCAGGCTTACTCCCCTACCCTCCCCCCTGCAGGTGGCCGAGGGTGGCCCGGCCCGAGAACCGCTGCCGCTCCTGGAGGTGTCTCCGCGCAAGAGGCTGCCTGCCCGGCCCGACCAAGACCCATGCGGTAGCAGACCTGCCCCCGAGGGCGCTGGTGCCGGCGCAGAGCAGGGCCACTTAGCCAGCGGGGGCGGCTGGTGCCGCCACTGCCACACGAAGCTCGTGGAGCTAAAGCGACAGGCGTGGAAGCTGGTCAGTGGGCCCGGGACGCCCCTCCGGGTAAGTGACCCCTCCCCAGGCCGGCCTCTCTCGGGCTGGGCTGCCTTGGAAGTTGGGAGACCTTGAGGCTTGTAGGGAGAGGCCCGGTTCCACCAGGATCCTGTTGCCCCATTTCTCTGTAACACTGATTATGTGAGTTGGGGCAGATCATCCTAGGGGGTTCTGCTGCTGGCTGGAGGGGCTTGGGCTGGTTTCTTTCCCAGCTGCAGAGGTCCCACAACTGGAACCACATGTTTGTGTTTGGGAGGGGGAGGGGAGAGAGCAAGCAGCAGGGACTCCACCCAGGTCAGGGCCCTGGCAGCAGCCAGAGGTTGCTTGGTGCAGTGTGGCCCTTGGGGTACATGGGCAGTGGCATACCTGGGTCTAGAGGGAATGGGGGTGTGAGTAGATCACCTCCAGCAGATGCGGACTCCGTCCAACCCTTCTGCAGCATCTGCCATGAGTAAGACCTGTGTCCCACCCATCCTGGAGCTCTGTCTCTTAGGTTCCAGCCTGGCATGTGGGGAGTGAACTGCTGGGCCTTTGGGTTTCACAGGCTGCAGTCCGGTGGGCAAGTGCTTGTGGGGAGAGGGCCCACTGGACTTTCCACCAGGCAGTGCCTGCCTGCCTGCCTGCCTTGGAAGGAGCCGGGCCATTGTTCCAGGGAACAATGCTCCCTGGACGTTTGCAAGTCTGGGGCGGTGGGGTATCTAGAGGAAGCTGTGCTGCTGACCTTCAGTCTTCATGAAGGAGTCCCTAGGAAGTGCATGTAATCTCCACAGAATCTAAATATAGTTCTCTGAAGCAGTTTGGTGTGGTTTGGAAGTGACACCCTGAATTCCCTTCTGGGCCAGGGCAGGTAGCCAGGTGCTAGTCTGGGTTCTGACCTGGGCACCCTCTCCAGGATCCTGGGTACTGGCCAGGGTTGGAGAAGCTGCAGCCTCTCTGTGGCTAGAGGAGGGGAGCTGTGGGCCTCTCCTGTGTGTGACTGGACCCTGCCCTGCGGCACCTTTGCTAAATTTCACATCCTAAACCAACTGGATCTAGCTTAAAAGATAGCAGGGACCCTTGAGGATCCCAGAAAAGGCCATTTGGGACAGGCCCCTGAGGCCCTTCAGGAAAGGACCAGAGACAGGAAGGGCTTTTTTCTTTTGTTTTCTTTTGTTTTGGCCATATTGGGGTTTCAACTCAGGACCTTGTGCTTGCTAGGCAGGTGCTCTACCACTTGAGCCACTCCACCTGTCCTTTTTGCATTGGCTGTTTTCTGAGATAGGGTCTCACTTTATTCCTGGGCTGGCCTGGACCTTGATCTTCCTAGCTGGGATAACAGGCACATGTCACTGTACCTGGCCATTGGTTGAGGTGAGAGTCTCTAGAACTTTTGGTCTGGGCTGTCCTTGAACTGGGATCTTCCCCATCTCCACTTCCCAAGTAGCTGGGGTTGTAGGCTTGAGCCACCATGTCAGGGTAGGAGGGGCTTTTTGACTGAGTCTCCCACCTCAGGCTTTGCTTATGCTGCTTCCAAGCCCCGGTCCCTGAACCAGCTGAGGGCATGGGCTGGTGACTGCAGGTGGACTGGGGGTCCTGCTGGAGAGAGCCCACACTCTGGTAGAGTTGAGTTTCTCATCTGGCGAGGCGGGGGTGGGGGGGTGATGCACTCAGTAGCCTCTTCCTGCAGACAATTCATCCACCCATCTTCATGTCTCTGAGTTTGACCTTTGACATAGGCTGCTTCTCTCCAGTTTCAGCTGGGGGTTCACCTGGTCTTGGCCTGCTCTGGCAGCAGACTAGTATTGTGGGCCAGGACATTGTGCTGCCCTGGGCCTCTGCTGTGCATGGGGACGGCTTCCAGGTCTGTTCCGGAGAGCTGTCTACTCTATAGGGTGCCGTGGTTAGTCATCAGTCGTTCTTCAGTGAAGACAGAAAGCCCCAGGGCACAGGGGCTGTGCCTGTACCCTGAGGCCTCCATGGGTATTATTGTCCTGTTACTGGGCTCTTCCCAGCATCCATGGACTGGCTCAGATGTGCACACGCAGCAGTTTCTGCCTTTGGAATGGGAGGGACCCTCCGTGTGGCCCCAGCTGTGGGCCAGCCTCCAGCAGACACACCTTGGAGGCCAACCGAGGTAATACTGGGCATTTAGAGTTGTTGGGCTAGGATCTCCCCCAGAAGTCTGTTCCTTATTTTTGGTCATGGCGTGATGAGCTCCCTTGAGCATAGTACTTTACTATCCTCTTGTGATCTCTGTGGGGCTTTTTCTGGGCATGTTCCTTTTGGGCCTTGCACCTCCTCTCCTTCCACTGTCTCAGATGGCTTCCTCCTCCTTAGACTCCCAGACTTCTTTAACAGAAGGCCCTGCCATCACTCTGCTGTGGTCTTCTGGGCCTCCTTGCCAGGTGCCCCTGCCTGGGAGGTATCCCTGCAGGATGTGCAGCACCTTTCACTCAAAGGCCATACCTGAGCTCCACCAACCCATCCTTATCCTGGGTCCTCATCTGTCATGGTGAACTGGCAGATGAGTTCTGCAGACCCCTTTCTTAGTCCCCACCCCAGTCCAAGATGCCACTTCCAGGCAGTAGCTCTGCCAAGGCAGGCATGGGGGTTCAGGTCACCTGGAAATGTTTGCTGAATGACTGAGTGACCAGGATTTTCCTCTCACTCCTCACTGGTGGTCATCTTGAGGGCTGCTGGGACTGGATTCTGGCTCTGTGTCCCACAAGGTGGTGATCCCTCTCCTTTATAAAAGATTGCTCCTTGCTACAAAGGGGGAGGATGGGAGAACTTGGGGATCCATCCCAGCTGCTGCAATGCGTAACATTCAGAGGTGGTGACTCTTCCAGAGGCCTGTGACATTCGAAGTGTCAATACCAGCACTGAATTGATTATCACCCCCAATGGGGAAAATGATCAATCCTCATTTAGCTCTTGTAATTCCCTCGCTTCTCCAGGCTTGGGGTCTCATCCTTTCTGCCTCCTGAGAGCTGGCAATACCATTTCTTGTGGTCCTTGCCTGCCTGAGTAGTGCCAGGCATTGGTTCAAACCTTCACCAAACGGACAGTGGGCAAGGCCACCCATGGACTGTGGTTCTGGATTCTTGTCCCCACACAGCTCAGGGTATTGTGCCCTGGCTCTGGGGTCTCCCAGCACACAGGGAGCCAGCCCTTGAGGGTTGGTGCAAGAGCCCTTGTCCCCTCTCCCTATGATTTGGCCTTGGTGGCTTGGTGTGTGCCTGTTTCTCTGTTCCTTTCCTGTTGGCTCTCCTTCACTTGGGGTGAGAGATGGAGGAGTCCTGCCAGCTTTTCATTTCTTTGTCACCTCCTCCAGGAAACCTCCAGCCCTTGGGATGCTCTGTCTACATGGCCTCTGACTCTGATTACACTGTGATTTTGAGGTCTGTGGCCCCCAAACAGGGTGTGGTCCTGGGTGGGTGGGTACTGGACTGACTCCTCTGATTTGGAAGTTGCCCCTGCCTACCAACCCTCCTTCCCCACTGTTTGGAGCCTGGTTTGAGCTCCACCCACTGCTTATATAGCCATGCCATGGTGTTTGCCTGGGGCTCTGCAAGGTGGGGCCCTGGCATTTAGCCTGTTTCCCAGCTGAGCCCAGGTGGCAGCCAGGACAGGTGTGAGAGGGGCTGGTGCTCCCTGGGGCTGACTGGCAGGGGACAGGGGTGACTCACTGGGAAGCCGTCTGTTCCCAGGAGGTTAAGGGTTCTAGGCTATTGGTTGAGGAATACCCAGTGGAGGCTGGGAGGAGGTCTGGCAGTCTGAATCTCACTGTCTAGCCTCTGTGAGGCTGGCGACAGGTCCCCTCCCTGTCCTGGGCTAGCTCCCTGATCCCTGGTTTTCTCTGGCTCAGCATGGGATGAGACTCCTTGTGTGTCTTGCCTGTTTTGCTGCCTGGGGTTTCACAGATTGCTGGTGGGCCTTATGGGGAGGACTTGAGCTTAAGATAGAAGCTGGTGCCCTCTGCACCTCTGCTGGGAGTGGGGGAGGGGTTGTTGGCAGCTGCTCTGGGCATGGGTCTGGTACAAGCTTTGCGTCTTGAGGGAGGGGTTCACTCCAGGGGGTCTGGCTGCATCAGACATGAGGTGGGGCAGGGACTGAATGTGGCCTCTGGCCTCACTGCCCTTCTGAGAGGTAGAGAGATTGGGGCAGGGTAGCTGTAGGTCACCTGTCATGCCATGAGCTGCTCGGAGTTAAACTGGGCTTACAGTGGTTTGGAGTGGGTAAGAGAAAGGATCTGAGGTCTTCTCAAGCTTCTTTCCAGGGTCCTGGGAGGACCCCAGAGTCGGGAGTCAGAATAGCTGGTTCTTGTCTTAAATAGCAAGGATGCTCCCTTTTCTTTTGCCTGCTAGGAAACTCACAGCAAATCTGTTCAGCTCCAGATAGCCACTTGAGACTTTTCTCATGTCTTCTGTGGGAACAGATCATTCCTGTGTGTTCCAGTGGTGACTGTTTTCTGTCGCATGCTTTGTTTTTAATTTATATTGTGTGGTTCCTGGAAGTCACCACACCATCTTTGTGTGAGACTATGCGGGCCGTAAGTAAGTAGGATAAAAATGGACTGACTGTGCCTTTTCTGAACCTGGCCTTGGTCTGCTGCTTGGCCTTTGGGAACGGGAGCCTGTGCAGCCCAAGGAATGGAAGGAGTGGTGAGTGAGGCTGGGCTGGCCCCTGCAGGTTCCTGCTGGCAGCCTCGTGGGTGGTCTGGCCTCCTCTGGCACTGAGCTGTGAACTCTAGTTTCTCCCTTCCTACTAGGCAGGTGGAGCCTGAGGCAGTAGCCAGAGGACTCAGTTTTTCCATTTGTGAGTAGTGTTCTCGGTGGAGTCACTCTTGCTCCTCCTAGGCTGGGGACACTTTAACCCTGGTGTCACATTGTTGTGGTTTTGCAGATGGGTACACTGTGGCCACAACCCCTCTCTAGGGCAGTGTCTCTCAGGTGTGGTTCTGTGGGATGGGGAGCCCTGGAGGCTGGCTGGGTGCTCTGTGGGGGGTTCCCAGCCTTGTCTGGTTCTTT